GTATATAGTCGCAAAATTCATAATGCTAGTCCTCTATATCCTCTGATTATAACCAAAAGGAAAGCAATTCTTAGTCATCCATAAGTACTCCCAAATTATCAGGGAGCCGATAATATTGACTGTTAAGGAACTTATGGCTAAAATGAAGTTCACATGAAAAGTGTATATGATCTTGTCGAATAAACCCAAACAAAAGTTGCCGACTTTTCGCAGAACAATTCTCTACTTTTACAACAATATGTGCAAAATATAAATATTGTACTAAGCAAACAAGAGCTAAATTTGAACTGACCAAGGTCGGCGGTTGCAGTCTATGGGAACCAACGTCCCACGCAATGACCAGTGAAGCAGCAAAGATGAGAAGGCAGCAGAGAAAGTAGACAGCCGAACTGGATCTGTCTCGAACGCTCTCTAGATTCACTATTGACAGTTGGAATAGCTGGCAAAAATGGAGGTAAGTTTAAACATTAAAAGATCAGAAATTTGAATCGCTACGATAAATATTAGGCTACATAAGGGCTCAATTTCAAGTCATTATTTTGCCATTAGCTTGATGGGTGGAAAAATCGCTTTTTACAAGTGGATTTGACCAAACGGTAAGGAAACAAAATTTGCTTCGACTAGAAAGTAGAAAAATCAATTAAAAATGGACAAGGTGCAAAAAGTTCAACTACAGCCAACCTAAAGATTACCTTTCAGAAAATTAAATATGGTGATAAAAAAAACGTTACTTAAACACTAGCATAGAGAGCAGTTATTAACAATAAAAGGACTAGTACCAGCAAAAAAGATGGGCCTTTTAGAACAAGTCGAGAACTTACAATTGCTGTGCAAAGTGCACTTGGGCACAGATAGTTCCAGGCGTAAGCATTTGCGTCGTTTGCTATGTTGGCAAATTTCCATATTAAAACCGCCAGTAACATTAAGTATGACAGCTAGAAAAGTAAGAGCCAAATTATTTCTTACGTGTTTGACGAAGTATAGAGCAGTCCACCTTCGAGGTCGATGGGAGTTTTGGAGCAGTATAATTAAGTATGGCAAAGAAAATACCGCCAAATAAACGAAAATTATGGTTGGAAGTGTAACATAAACGTCACATTCTGCGAACCTGGGAGTTTCACTATTCCATTCATTCGTATAGTTCTGAATTCATAGACGGCTGCAAACGACTTACATAACCATAGCCCAGACAGAAAGCCTCCCTGTAAGCACCCATCACAAACGAGAACAAAAGCGTGCGCCCAGGCACCGACTAATGTAACTGGCACATTAAAACATTGTCGTGATGTGACATAAGGTACTATTTGCGTTGCTTCTCATATAAAACAAAACTGCCACAATGACGAATCGTATTAGCTTAAAATTCATTTGTTTTTTGCCGATGCATTTGTGATTGTTTTTAATTACTCCCTCAATCTCGGTTGCAGTTTAAATTGATAAAATTCAAATATCGTTTTTCGAGAACCTTACCAAGCAGTGATCTTGGTAGACCAAATCAAATTCAACCGACTTTTTATCTCAGAACACCGTAAATTCACTCATATGATAGGGACCCAAACACTCTTCCCTCCCATCAACCATCGCTGGCTAAACATGCCCTATATTCGCAAATGCTAAACGCGGAATCACTTCATCGATGCTTAACCTGAAGTAATACACATTACTGGTTTCATGGTTAAAGCGATTTTGAATTAATGGATTAATAACATTCATTTATGAAGCATGGTTTCGGTGAGGAAACTGCTGTTTCCCAGTGTCCGTGAAATGCCCGTCATTTAATGTCGCACAGAAGAGCCACCCCACGAAGAATCCAATAGCTTGGATCCCGATTTGTTCTCAGTTGCAGCGGAAAAATGAAATTAAGATCCCTTCTTGAGGGTTTCCTGTACACCGGACAGGAGTAGTAGGTTGTCGACGTTACTGGTGCGGTTGGCGCCTGGCCGGTGGTGCAGTAGGTAGACAAGTGGACGACTGGAAGGGGGGTGTAGAGTAATTTTGGTGGCGGCTCCATTAGACGACCAGCTTTTCTGTCCCACCCGGCGCCATCAAGGTAGAGGCCGTAGATATAAACACCTGTGTTGAAAAGTTTTGGCGTTTATATGTGCAAGAGGCAGATCTTCGTAATTGTTAATATATTGGGGCAATGATAATGTTATACAACTCCGTTTACCTGCACCTTTTAGGCAATAAGGCAGCGAGCTTAACGAACCTGTAGACCGAAACACCACTGTCAATTCCCGAAGGAATTACAAACCCCAATTTTCCAAAAGAAGTTCTCAACCTGAACAATTTCCTTTTCAAATAATGCATTATATCCACAAAAATCGGCCTCTTTAGCAAATTAAGATGACGATTTAAGAAAAAGGCCTTATTTTCTATTTTTTAGGAATGACGAGACAATAATTCAGCTTTGCCGCTTCGTAGCTCCCACTTTAATGTACAAGCAATTAAACTTATAAAGCACAAAAATCAATTATTTGCAAAAGATTACTTCAGATCTTAGTTCATATGTTCCAAAGACTATTTATAATGAATCCAAGATAAATATCTTAAAATCGGTTCATTTAGAGAAAAAAGTAGTCGATAGCCATGGAGCAAATTTACCTTCTTGAGGTACCCGTGAGACCTCTTCATGAGACATCCTCGTAACCTCATTAGTCAGAGCTGCCACATCCAGTGCGAATTTGTTGGCTCTTGCAATTTCCTGTCGCATAGCCGTTAGGAAACCCTAAAACATCGAGTACTGCGGTTGACCCCCTCTACTTATTGATATCAGTAGCATTGCGCTTCCAGGCAGTTTCATTATGCCTGTCTTGGTTTTTACATGACCGCAAGATTTCCTCTTTGATTGTATTATAGGTAAAGATTCGTTTTTGCAAGTACTTCAACCTTAAATTGTATGCTCGTCTAAACATGCCACATCACAGTGCATTAAGGCGTTTTTGGTGTAGTGCACCAGTTTCTTACTAGCTTGTTTATTATTAAACACACAAAAGATTGCATGAGCCGATGGGAGCTTGGAGTGGGGAACAGGACATACCTGAGGGTTGAAAAAGCCAGTTAACCAGTAGGCCTTGGGTCTTCCGTGAAACAGCCAGCTGTGCAATTGCGTGTTTCTGTCCAATAGGTCGGTAAACCAGAACCCCAGTGTCGCCGAGTCCCATGAAACCTATTAGGTGCCGAAATTAATCGACTTGAGTATTTGGAACATCATTTGAGCCTTTCAGCCTTCAGCAACTAGATTTCCACTACAATGGAGTGGGACACCATCAATGCATGTATTTACCATTGGCTACCTAATACCACTTTATTTTATTTACAAAGCTTCCTTTCTAACTCTACGCAGAGACGTTGTGGCACTTCCTTTAGTGATGCCTCACTGAGATGCATCCAGCACAAGTTAGCCTTACACAAAATAGAACCGATTTGGTAATGCTTTACAAAATATCCCTATCCACAATTCAGTGCGTTTAAAGCACTGCTAAATGGACCATGGAGGTATGAACACCTCCATGTGGTGTCAAAGATCGGAAGATAAGCCAGATGGGTGTCTGCCAGCGCTAAAACGATGCTAAAATGCGAAAAGGCAAAGATGTTTGGGTGAAACTCTAAAAATTCATAACATATTTGGAACTTTGTTAATTTTGTACGCTGATGCATTTGGGTTGAAGATCAGCTATTAGCATATGCTTTTGGATGGATAAATGGCCCTAGCCACCCGTGTTTCTAACTCACTTTTAGTGCCATACGGTCTGTTCTATTTCACATGTGACCATGTGACCCTCCAATGTCAAGAAAAGGTGAGTACTAAAGCTGAAAAAATTGCCATCAAGAAGTGGGAAAAGTGGGGATGGGGATAAGAAAATCTGCTGAATTATCATGAGTCAATTCTGTGGAATGCAGTATGAGATGCTGTGGTGCCTTGTAAGGATAAGAAAAAACAATTTCTTTACACTGGTTAATTAGTCCTAACTGTTTTTGAAAAAGAAAAAGTTGGTTTTCCACCCCTACCAATTGTATGGTGAGATCACAACCGTAATTGCTTGGCCTTTAAAGGGGGTAAGCATTAGTCCTCTGGGAATAAAGTGCTGCCTGTCCTAAGAGTTTGGTGTAGAAGGGGAATGGGTCGTTTAGGAATAACTAATAATCTATTCGTTTGCTTAACGCTGAACTGCAAATACCGAAAGCGACGTTTCCGTCCGAATGATTCCATCACCAGAATCAAATGAATCAAAACAACTTCTAAGCAATACATTTCACCACTGCATTTCGGACCTCCTGCAAATCCTGTGCCACGGCAGTGAAGGGAAACCTTTGCGCTCTTGGAAACGATTTGCAAATCAGGCAATATAGAATCCCATTTGCTAGGTCTGATCAACATTTGATGCCATGGGAATCCGTACAAGGAGAAAAGTAGTTACATTTGAGAAGTCGTTGTAGCGAGCTCTACTGAAAACGCAATTTGACGACAGGTGACGCAACGCAAGAGCTCCGTTTAAGCTTACAAGATGGGTTAATAGAGTTAGATTTCAGGGAAATCAACAATTAAACTACTGGGCCCCCGTGTATGCTGGGAACAAAATTGCTTCTAACGGCAACTCAGAAGCACTTTACCAACTGCATCAACTAACATCGCAGGGAGAAATTGCAAAGAGGAAAGCTCACTCTCCTCTCATGCTGGGGCTTGATGAAAAAGTTGCATTCATTATAAAAACAAAAGCCCTTTCACTGTGGATTAGCGTGAAAAAGGTATCTTGCTGCTAAGACGGTAAGTCTATGTTACCCCTATCGGTTTGAGAGTGTACCAACAGTTTGATTAATTACTACCTTATCCGGTTTTATTTGAGGCATAGAATGAGATCTAGAAGCATTGGGAATAATCGCCTCCCTTTTCATTGAGAGGTACGGAATTTACTTAGGTAGTGGTGACTAGATAATATCACTAGCTTGCTCTGGATAATAAAGAAAAGTAACAAAACCAGATCAGTAAATTTTGAACTTCACGATATGTAAATGACCTTCTTCCACATAGCGGGAATGCGAGCATCGTAGATGTTGTCGAGAGCGTCACGCAGGTTCTCCGACATGATGATCGTCCCGTCGATGGCTAGCTTTAGATCGCTCAGGGTACTGCGCACCAAACTTATCACCCGCTGAATGCGATCCAGTTCATGACGCAGACAGATGTGCAGTGGTTTGAGATGGTCCAGTTGTTGTAACAGCTCTTTCACCTGGAGTAAAGCAAGTTGGAAGCAATTCATCAATCCTGCACACTTACTAGTTCATCAGTTTAAAAGTTGAAAATGAACATCTGCTTGTTCAAAGTAGAAGAAATTGGATAGTAAAAATTTTCAAGTGAAGCCCATGGATGAATTATGGGATAACTGAAGCAAATAAAACGGCCTCTTCAACAAAGGCGTAAATAAGGATCGCATTACTTCGAAAGGATTGTAATCAGGCGGCAGTTTGGAGAGCATTTCTTCAGCCATTTTATTGACAAAGGTCTCCCGTGTTTCACCACCTCCACCAGAACTATCCTTGGGTTGAATATTTGCAATCGTTGTGAGTACAGCCAAAGCATTGTTCGTTTGACACCTGGGCGAAAAAGACAGAAGTTCTCCACAGTTCAGGCCTAATTCAGTCACGGTATTGAGATAAATTAATCGCCATGTACTTCTGGACCACAATAAAACAGCGACTTCTACCAGCAAAAAACTTAGTCGTTGGTTTCATTTACGTGATGTCTGCGTTAGGGTGAAGACCGAAGCACTCGGGTGAATCAGTAGCGGGCAATTCGGAGATTCGGGTCTGATACTCCTCCACAGTCCGTGCTTTTGGAATACCGTAGCCTGTGTAGAATTGGAAGTCGTCCATGAAGATGCGGTCGGTAAACCAGACCTGTGCATAGGTGTTCAACAAACGTTTATCATAGTCGTCAGTCACTCGACCACCGTACTGAACCTCACCGATCATGTAGCGGATTGTTGGCCAAGAGATTCCCTGCAGACAAAGGGAATGAACAGTGCTTGGTGCGTGAAGTGATCACCCAAATCCTTCTCATCTTGGCACTACCAAGAAATTGGTTTGAAACTGGAATTATAGTGAGAGTTACGTCGCGTATTTGACTAGGGGAAATGATGACATATTTACTAGTGGGTATAACTAAACTATAGGTTAGAATAGCCCAGTGAAGTGACTTTGAAAGGGAATTGTGGAAAACTGTGGAGATATTGGAGCAGGGAAATTAAATAAAACAACTTAAAAGCAAATATTTATGGCATTATTCCAGAGAGAAATAAGCCACAACCCATGTAATTATATGATTTTTATTGCCTCGAAATGTGCAAAATTTTGGCAAAACAGTATACCACACGAGTTTCCATTAAGATTTGACTGATTTTCAGGGAATCGCAAAACTCTGTACAGTTTTTGGAGTGGCACGCCTCAACAACTTCTTGTAACCATTTTGCACTTGCCAAATACAACCGCCAGTCAGTCGATGGCGCACTATGTGATCCCAAAAACCTTCCTCTTATTTTGAATCCCCATCCAATCAAATATCTACAAAGTATGATGGGTGTGGTACAAGATCATCTACTTTACAAACTAAGTTTAACTCCTTTTTAAAGCTGCCAAAGCCTCCTGCTCAGCATCTGGAGGTGAGGTATGTGGTAGCAGAACGCATCCTCCAAAAGTGAGTTACGGTACAACTCAAAGGTATGCAAGAACATATTCGCTGTCTCCATCTTCCTCTTCATCCAGTGCTTCTTCTGCATTAGAACACGTAGGACTGGTCAATCAGTCAAATGATTGCCCTCTTATCCTTGAAAGACATTACCCTACTTCCTACTGCGTACTGCAGAAGTGGTCTTTGAGAAGATCTTGCCCTGCACTTGAGGAAGGGAGGGAAGGAGGAAGGGTCGAAAGGAAGTACTGCCTTATCTTTACTTCGATCTTCATCCTCCTCCTCATTTCCCCCATGTTATGTCTCCATGTAGATATCGTTCTTGACGGATTAGAATGGACAGTTAGATTGTTAGTGTGGAGTGGAAACGGAGGTGCCTAGGACCGGGGTATTTGTTTCTGGAGCCAGAGTTATGGGAAATTGGAATTTGGAGTAAATTTATGTAGTGTTGGGAGGAGATTATGTTGTAATCTGTAAATGTATTTATTCTAACCGGCTGCGTGACCACGTGCTTCAGTAAGACCGCGCCTCCCCAATGTCTAAGGCGTTGTGTGACTATACTACCCTTAACACACTGCGCCCTTGGTCCTGCAAAGCTACTCTCTATATAACATCGTTTTCGAAGCGCTGTTGAGAGCACCAAAAAGGTGCGGGTCTAGAAGCCGTAGTCTGGATGATCTGAAATTCAGTCCCCATCGATTTCAATGTAAAACCGCATTTTAGATTGAGGGGGATTATAAAAGTCTCCGATTAATTGAAGGCCAAAAAAAGCTATTATAGATTAGAGTGATTGCAAAGCACAAAGAGATCGAGCATAGATTATGTCTTTTGTTGGTCCTGCATAGCAGTTTGGAAGTTTTTATCATTGTACTTAGGTGAATGGGGGAAATGTGGAGTTTTCAAGTAAATTTGAATTAAATTTATTGAAAATTTCATGGACCAATGGTGATCGTTAGGAAGCAGACGAAGTCTTTCCCTAAACGCAGATCCTGAAGACAGCTTGCAAACTCGAAATGAAGCGACCCATCCTTTGGGAGAACCTTGCATGGTGCAGCGCGACCTCAAGTGATGGAGGAATGATTAATTGAACAATTTCGTGATCACATCACCCCTATCATGAATTACTAAGCTTGAGAAGTCACTGAACGAGTTTCAACCAATAATGCCTGTGGCACCAAGGACTCATTGACGTCTGCTCCTTACAAAGCGGTGATAGCTGACATGACTAAAGACCGCCTAAAAACGCATGCGGTCACACGACATAAAGCAATGCCGAGACCGAGAACACTTCTTACATCCTTGCTATTTTGCTCTGCCTTTGTGGCACTTTGTCCCCAAGCAGTTGATGAAAATAGGCGCAAATCTTAGTAGGTATTAACTAAAAATTCACTTAAACGCAATTACGAATAAGAATAAAGGAGCCGGGGATGCCTGCAGAAAAATGCATCTGTCCGCCTTTTCCAGTAGTTCCAGTCGATGTCCAATCACCGGATATTTTAGATAGGTGAAAATGGGTCTCATCGAGCATAGATGTACAACAAGAGTGTTGACAACCACTCAAAAGCCAAGCCAAGGCCAGTCATTGACTTACCCTCGGACGCACGCCCAGACAGTCGCCCCTCTTTAGCCACGAGGCATATACCTACTGTCCATACTCCCTTTCCCTACTCATTCCACTGATAATCGGGACATCTGCTCTGAATTCTACCCGTTGATCCTACATAGATTACCCATTATTGATTTTCGAACCTGCCCTCGATAGGGTCCTGGCCACTCACGCACACGAACACCAGGTTATGACTACCGGCGGCTCAGTTTAAAACAAAAGCAAACCGATTTTATGACAAAAAATGTTACCTCTTTTGTTTGGTAAATTAATGTTAGGAGGAATTATGACTTCCTACAGAAACCTATCCTCTTTTGGATTGTTAATTAAATGCGGTAGGTTTCGCAAACAAAATTCCAGATTAAGAAAGTCCTGAGGCTGCTTAAGGTTTCGTAAATTTAACATTTTTTAATTCAGGATAATTGCTCCTGGAAGATTAAATTCACCATTTTGTTTTTAAGTAGACTAAAAACTTCGTGAGAATCCGAAAATGAAATCACTGTTAAAGATGAGTTTATGTCTTTCCAATAAAGGTACCTTGTGTGCATCCATATCATCCAAATGGTTTTGAATGAACTGTACTGTAGAGGTGAAATCCGCCTGGTTAAACTCATAGGGTATGTTCCAGCCGATGGGTCCAAATTTACGGCGTTCTTGTACTATGGTGTGGAGAAATGCCACCGCATACAATAGCGGTTTCCATTGCACAGCGCTACTTGCTTCCAATTGGTCCTCGCCCTCCTGACCAATCATGGCGTAGGTTCGTAGTAAGCCGGCTCGCACGCCCATTGGAGGATCAAAGGTGAATTTTGTGCTGATTTGTAGCAAGGCAATGGGGAACTTGGGATGTGGTTCCGTTGTTATCCAACAGCGGAAGCTTTCGTGAACGTTCTGAGAGGTGGTGATCTAGGAAATCGGCGTAATCACTATTAATAGCATATTCGTGAATAGTCATTGATGAAATTTCACCACTGTGGACCAAACGCTCTATTGTTACAAAGTAGAGCAAATTTTTACGAAACTTACGAATTTTACAAATGCTAAGAAGTTTAATTGCCCTCAGACCAGGGAGATCTTACAACTCTTTTGTCTGATTGGAACGTACGATTTGGTTCAACCATAGTTATTATCATCGTGTAAGGAACTCGTATAACACGCTTATGACACTAAGGCCAGGCAAGAAAGTGGAGGAGTCACAAATCTGCCAAGTTGACAGGAAAATTACTAGTCAACTAGAAGTGTTAACTGCTATTACAAATTAAATTCACTCCTTCTCGGTCCGTGAATGGTCTTGTCATAGTCTTAGGAGAATAAATGGTTTTTGGCATAACTCACCAAATCTAACAGTTCATCCATGAAGTTGAGACCAAGGTGGCAGTTCTGTAGGAGAACCCATTTGCCTTCAGTCATGCTACCTGCGATGAGCCGCCTGGCGTGCACCTCCTGACCTTGACCCATCGAAACTGCCCCGTAGGCTGCAAGACATGGTAGGCATTATTAGTGATTTTGAATTCTTTACTACTTCAAAAGGCGTGGAAGGAAGCACAAGAATGTGTTCCTTTGAAGAATAAATGCCATGTATCTTACTTGCCAAGTTGACCTGCTATAAGTGTCAACAATTTTAGGGAAAAATGTGTGCACATTTTGATCAATTATGTTTCCGAATGAAGATCATCAGATATTTGATTATGGAAAATAGCCAAACGATTTTATAAAGATACTTCCTCTTATAAAAAAACAAATAACTACATAAATCGGTAACACAATCCAGCATCTAATCATTTTCCAACGCGGCATATGTTCGTTCTGAATTCCACTTTTCCACAATTTTTGTACCCTAAAGCAGATAGCCCGGGCATAGACACTACCTTTTCTACCTCACATTCACTCTCCAATCTTCTCTTCCGATCAGCGTGTAACTGCCTAATGCCAAAGAAAGTTGTCCATCACTGCTTGGAGATGCATCATGAAGGGAACGGGGAGGATAAACGTGAGGAAACGGATGGGAATGTAGATGAGGATGCGGCAGTATCTTCTTCATCTCTACTTCTCTTCCTCAAGTCAGGTAAAAAATCTCTCCATAGATCACTTTTACAGTATGACGTATGAAGTACTTGGATAGCTTAAAAGGATAAGAAGAGAGCTTTCTTTGGACTGATCGACAGGTCCTGCATATTTCAGATAAAGAGAAGAAGAGGAGAAAAAGGAGGACAGAGGGAAGAAAGTTGTTTTTACACACCGAGCTATACCATATATCACCTCAGGAGGGTGCGCTCTGCTACCACATACTACACCTTCTCCATATATTAAGTAAGAGGCTTTGGCAACTTTACAAAGTAGTCAAACTTGGTTTGCAGAGAAGACAACCTCAAATTACATGTAGAAGTTTTCACAGTCAAGACCATCTGCTGGACATATATATATATATATATATATATATATATATATATA